TACCCACAAATCCTCAGATGGTTCAGCGCGCACGCGCACACACACACACACACACACACACCCCTCTTACTACCCACAAATCCTCAGATGGTTCATGAGCTTCCAGGTGTTGTTAAGAGCAGCTTGTAACATATCTTTTAATTCAGAACTTATTTTTGTCAACAAACTAGGCAGCTGTCCAAAAAACAAAAAGGAAAATTAAAAGCCTGTTGTTGATTTAGATTGTACTCCAAACAAAAAGTTCTAAGTTTTAAGAAGTAGGAGGTAAAAGTATCTGCCAAACTGCACTGGAAAAGAGACCGAGTCATAGGGAAAAATAAAACACTACTTGCAAGTTGCCAAAAAATATTTAAGTCACCTTCTTCGGTCCAACTATTTCACAATTACCTCTGTATTCTACATCAAGAAGCAAAACAAGAAATGGGGATGTTGTATTAAAATGACAGCAAATTTACCTCTATTTGCTCCACTACCCTTCTGGCATTTCTGCAGACATTAAACACGATTAGAAAGGCCGTAACACACTTGATTTTGTAAAAGAATGTGCAAAATTGTACACAATCCCATCATTATTCCAAATGCAATGAAGAGTAAAAGGGAGTTACTGTGCTACTTTTAAAACTATAGTAATGACATTTGTGTCACTAGCTAGTTAGATTTCCTGGAAAGAGTGGCCCAGTTTCATGTTTTGTCACTGATATGTCAGGCCCCAACTAAAAATCAAGTTCTTTAGTTTAAAAAAATTATTTCATTCTCTTCACTTACTAAGTGTTCTGAAGGATTTTTGATGACTGAGTTGCTTCTAGGTCTTTCCAAAGGTAAAACTGAAAGAGACCTTAAGTCATCACGTCCGCATTTCAGCTCAATGCAGACAGTCCTTCAGCACTATTAACAAATGTTACTCAGCTTGTGCTTGTACTTTCCCCACAAAAGGCTGAATAATGCCAACTGCCAGACAAACCTGGTGAGAGCTAGTTCTTCTCGTCAGTGGAATCCTTAGCAGGTATACACTGCACCTTCCTTTGACCTCTGTCCCACTGCTATCTTCTGTCTCCTGGAATAAAACAAGGGACTCTAGCCCTTATTTCATGACAACCCTGTGATTTCCCTAGTCCTTGGCGACTGTCAACCTCCCAGTGGGCAACGGGAAGGCAACTTTTTACCATGAAAGTTACCTTAACATAGTGGAACATTAGAGGTAACTGCTCTTTTCTGCTCTGTGGAGAAAGCTGGGTACCAGGGAAAGTACTTTAGAGGCTGCTGAGTGAAAGCACGCCAGTGGTTTTGCGTAGACTGTGCTAGTAAGGTCTGCAGTTCAAGGAAAATTGTTTGTCCTGCCAGTTGGGCTTGAAGACACAGTCTTCGGACACAAACAAATGCATAAATCCCCAGATAAGCGGAGATAACTGGGAGGGAGCAGAGCTGATTATTTCTCTCAGCATTTTAATTTGCCTTGCTTTGCAAACATGTCTGATTATACCAGCAACAGGCACGCATGACACACTGCTGGGCAGAAACACTGATGACCCACTAATCCTGATTAGACGGTAAATCACTACTTGGTCAAAAACATATGTAATAGTGAAGTATTTCAGGAATGACTTCTAAAATTAGAATTTGTTCGCTTTATTATTTCCAAAGTGCGCTATTCACATTCAAACAAATATATTTTTAGTTTTTTATGCACAGGAGGAAGTATCTGGGAAGACATCTTGACCACTGACCTGACACAGTGGAGAACCTGGCCGTTCTGGAGACCAGTCTGGACAGGCTGCCAGCAGGCGGGCTGCCGGAAGAGCCGCAGCCCCAGCATGAGGTTTTCTAGAGCACTAGCTGCAGGCTGTTTTCTGGCCTCTGACACAGGCCAGCTAGTGCCCACTTGCAGCTAGCTCCAACCCCACCTCTTAAATGGGAGTGACGGCACTACAACTAGAGCAATGACCTTGAGTATATTCGAAAGGTTAAATGAGTCACAAACAAATACAGATCTGCTGTGGCACGCTCCACCACGCTGACACCCTGGTGCACAGCAACACCAGCGTTCGCACCTGTTCTAGAGAGCAAGGGACGGTGTCCGACTGAGTCACATTCTTTGCACACACTGGAAGTTTAGAAACAGGTATTTCTCCTCTTGTCATGCTATAGAAGAAATTGATTTGGCTCATTTCAGAGCAAGCAGCATCACTCTTGGTCTGTAATAAACATTTCATGAAAGCAGCTTTTTATTATAGTAGTATAATCCTCCTTGGCTCCTGGAGGGATCAGAGCATCTAGGAAGATGCCCTCATTTTACAAATGAGAAAATCAGTCTGAGAAGTCAACAGACTTGCCCTTGATTATGCAAACAAGCAGCAGAGTCAGGAATTTAATCAGGATTTTTGATTCTAAATCAATCCAGATAAATTCTAAGACAACCCAGTAACAAGAAGGAACATAAGTCAAAGAGATGGAGGAAAGAGTGATGCTTAATAAGCGCAAAGCAAAAATGACCAATGGTTACCAGCTGAAAAAGGAGAGAGAAAACAGCATGGTGGTAGAAGCCAGCTGAAAAAGTGCTGTTGCCTATGGGAGAAACATTTAGGATTGAAAACTAGTATGAAGTTCAGCTAATTCTGACAAAAAACTGAGAAATCTGTTAGTTCAGAACTCTGAAATGTACAACAACTTAGATTTTTAAAGTAATATTTTTACTAAGTAGCTAGACTTACCAGATTTAGAAGATAATTTCTGAGAGTCTATGGGAAATCTGACAGTATAATTATGGGGAAAACTTAGTCCATAACATTCCACTGGAGTTAAGTCCTTGTTTATATAAAGCTTTTTGCCATCAGAAAGAAATTTAAGACAACTTTTTGGCTTCAATAGTTACCTGTACAAAATAAGGATCACTGCAAAATAAGGACGTATTTCTGTATGCCCTATTCCCAAAATCTACTCCTCTCTTCATTGGTAGAAGAAAAATATATATTTTTTAAAGATTTGTTTATTTATGCATACAGAACTGGGGCATAGGGCAGAGGTGCAGGGGTGGTGAGAGGATTCACCCAAAACAGAGTGGGGGGCAGAACAGGCAGATCAACGAAGTACATTGCTGAGGGGAGCCACGGGAGAGACAGGAGCGGTCTGCTGCACCCTGTGGGTCACCTCTGGGGCCCAGGATCAAACTCACACTGAAGTGGCTGTGGCCAACTTACAGCGCTGTGCTTTAATCCCCTGCGCCACCAGGGAGGGCTGGTAGGAAAAAAATAATTTTTTAAAACACAAAAAAGAAACAATCTTTGGTTTCCTTGTCAACTAAGTACTTGCTGAAAGACAGTCCCAAACCAGTTCTCCTCTGTCTGTGTGCATATGGCCTATAACAAGTCTGCTATTTTTTGGAATGAGACTTTTTATTCTTAAAAGGTGGCTGAACCCAGCTACAGACAGCAAATGATTACATGTATGCGCCTTCAGGTGTGAAGAAAGTAGACCAAGACCATGTGTGCAATCACTACGTACCCTGCCTTTAAACATGTACTGCTTAACAAATACGGTTTTTTAACACTTTAGACAAAGCCTTTAGATCTCAGCAAACCAAGTTATACAAAATCTGTGATCTGAGAAGTCGCTGTCAATATTAAGTGAATATCATAGATAATTTTGGCATATCAAAAATATTTACATTGCAGTCAAATACATATGGTTGATGAGTACAAAAATTATTTATAAATGCACATCTATTTACAGTAAGGTCCCTAAGTGACAGTGACCATTAAAAAAAAATATTCACAAGAATACAAAACCCCTTGACCTGTTAACAGTTGGTCAAGCCTGGAATCCTTGTCAAAGACCTTGAATATCAAAGCCCCGGTCTCAATTATATTTTTAAACCCATGGAAGCATCCAGGCACACTTCCCAGAGGGCAACAGTTATGTTTGTTTCTTGAAAGGCCAAATCGAGCAGTGATGTTTCCTCCAGGTTACTCTGGGAGTTGAGACACCAGCGTGCTGAGCAGCAACGACTCTCCCTGGTGACCCCACATACTTGGCACAGCCCTGGAGCCGCACCAGGAGGCAGATCTGCACCGGCCCCCCCTCTGCCAGTGCTGCACACATTTAGTCGGTTTCCCCATTTCTGTCAGCTGTTACCCTTTCTTCATCAGGTCCAAGCAAATGCCTGACCCACCTTTTTCTAGTCAGATCTCACAAAGAGTAAAGCAAATGCTGACTCTGGGGTTTCTTCTGAACTCTGAGGTAGTAAATACAACATTAATTAAGTAGCGTCTTTGCCCAGATTTCTCCAGGAGTCACTTTCATGTGCCCTTGCTACCATCTTGAATGCTCCGAGTCCTACTAAAATCAAAAGTATGGTCATGCAGCCTGTGACAGGGCACTGGGGAGGCAGCACAGTCTGGGTCACTCACTGCTAGGCCCTGACTCGGACGGAGCTGCGGCGACTCCAGGCCTGGCTGCTGGGAGAAGGGAAGACGAGACAGACCGAGCTCTTTGCCCAAGCCCCACAGAGGTCGCTGCAATGTTTCTGAGAATAAAAAACAAAAATTATCAGTGATTAGTGAAAGTTTAAAATTAAATTTCTAAAACTTTTCATTTATCCAAATCCTCAAAGAAATGAAGATGTCCAAAATTCCAGAATCAGGACACTGAAATCAAACAGAATCTTGCTAGCTTAGCAACAAAACAAGTCAATAAAAACTGGACTATGGTTTCTCAATCCCTCCTCCTCAACAAACATAACCAGCCACTTACTGAAAGCTTGCTATATGTCATTGTTCTGCTTATTATTAGTGGTGCTGTTGGTACAAAAATTTAAAAACGAACTCTTTAGCCACATGACTGAGACTTAATAGTATCCCTAGCTAATGAAAGCTGCACAGTACATATACAAAAATTATCAACTGTGTAAGCTATTACATCTTTAATAAAGGATGTTAAAAAACAAACTTTATAAAATAAAACCCCAGCTTCTTGCACACCAATAATTGTAATGACAATAACCTACAGCAGCTACTTTAAATTAGATTATCTATCTGTACCTCCGCTTCCAAACATATGCATTTCTTGTTCTCCTTATTTACTGTATGGTTAAGCACCTTCCCCAAGAATCACGCACTGAAAGTTACAGTAACTTCATAGGACTACATTTTAGAAAAAGCCAAAACTCTGGAAATACATCAGAAATAAAGATAAAACCCATGTGGAAGTTAAGCCAGAGCAAGCTTCTCAGGCTTTAATCTGCACACAAAAACCTAGGGATCCTGTTATTAGACTCTGGTGCACGAGGCCCAGGGTCAGCAGGAGCCAGGATCTGCATTCCTAACAGTTCCCAGGTAATGCTGGTGCTGGCAGACCACGCTTTGAGTAGCAGCAGCTAAAGCGCGAGGTGAAGAACAAGCAAGGCACCAAAGCACTCTCCTTTGCTGATGCCTTCACTGCTGGACCAAATTAAAAATTAAGATACCCCGAGGTTCGAAATGACATGCAATGCATTTTTGGTTGTAAAGTATTAAAGTATTTTTTGTGTATAACTCTTGCAGGACAAAGAAAATGGATCCGAGTACTGGCACATTTCACGCACGAGTACAGAACATAACTTCAGTGATACTGTATTTTCCCTTGACTTGTAACCTCTTTAGGATTCTTTAGATTTTGGTTTCTTAAGCCTAAGAGTACGTCTTAAAAGTCCAACATCAGAACCTTCACTCCTGCAAGAAACATCGCTGGAAGTGCCACTACGCTCCATCTTCCTCTCTAAACCTGCAGTTCTTAGCCCACCCTAGGTCCAAGTGCTCTTCCATTTTGGGCTGACAGGAGAATGACAGCTGATGAAAAGTCAGGATGGACCAGAACTGCTCAGTGTCCTTCGTGGTCTAGCAAGAATTTTGTCTTGCTTTACTGACACGAGTTGCTGTCAAATGCCTGACAAGCACAATGTGACATACCTCTTTTAGGAGCCATCTGGGCACTCCCCCACAGCCACTTTCCCACTCACTTCGCTGATGATAAAAACCAATGACACTGACATGCAGTATTTACCTGATGTAACAGCAGCCAAACAAACCATCTAAAAATCATTTCCTAAAAACATTCCAATGATGCCCAAATTACACTTAGCATTTCAAAACTCCATTATGTAAGTAAAGATGTGTGTGTGTGTGTGGGGGGAATTCCTCAAACATAAAACTTCTTCTGTATGGCCTCTGAGTTTTTAGACATGATCTTACTATTCCCACAAAAGCTGTTTGATCCTATCGGCAGAATTCCTTGTGACGCTTACCTCTAAAATAGTTCTCTGGCTCTAGTTTACACCAGGAGCTAGTTACTCTGTTATACCCAATTTGCTTCCTATCAAATGAGAGTGCCTCCTCTGTGACTGACAGAAAGTCAGTGGGTGAAAGTGAAAACAAAACAGTAGGCCCTTTACCGCTGCTCATCTGTGTGGAAGAGAGTTTCTTCTCATTTATCCTCTCGTGGTTGGTGGGAAAGGCAGTCGTCTCTCTCTCTGCTGAAGACACCAGATTCTCCATGGCAGGGGCATCTTGGGGAGGGTGTGCCAGATATGCCTCTTTAGGCATCTGGACCATAAGGCCAGACAGAGTCTGATCCAGAACATCCTCCTCGGCAATATAGGTATACGGACAGTATTCTCGGGTCCTGGAGTAGATGTTAGCGTTGTCGTAACAGTCAGAGCAGATGACCCGAGTACCAGCGCCACCTAATGACAAGGCAGGAAAGAACCCAAACATCCTTTAAGTTGAGGAATCAATGAAGTTTTCTTCAACAGTTTTCATTTTCATTACCGCTGCATTTATTTAGCATATTATTTACACCAAAGGTCTTGAAATCTGTGATTAACTAATTTAATCTTCACAACATCCCCATGATATAGATACTGTTACTTTCCCACCTTTACAGATGGAGTAACTATGACACAGAGATGCTAGATAACTTGCCCAGAGACACGCTGCCAGAGCAAGGAGTTGAAATCTGAACTCAGGCACTCTGGCTCGAGTCCATGTGCGTGAACTGCATTAAACCATCTAAGTCCCGCCTGGACAAAGTCACACTCAAATCAAGGAAGCCAAGATAAAGCTGGCTGTGCTACAGAATACATGTTTGACTTGAGCAAACTACAGCAGAGAACAGAGAGTTATGATGACTTCACTTCATAAGAGCCTGTGTTACTTTTGTTGAGTCAAGAGGTTAAGCAATACCAATTGCTACATGTACCCCTAGAGAAAGCTGCTTACGATCAAGAATCCTGCCTGACAAATGTGTGCTTGGCAGAAGTAAAGCTTTAGTAATAAACTCCTTAGACTGTTATGTACTTTGAAAATGGAAAGATGAGAGAAAAGAGTGAAAAATAAAGATCAATTTACTTACTCATGACTAAGTAATAGAACTGTGTTATTGCCCACAAATTTCAGCACTTCTAAGGATTTTTATTTTTTGACTTTTTATTTATTTATGCATACAGAACTGGGGTACAGGCCAGAGGTGCAAGGGCAGTGAGAGGACTCACCAGAGACAAAGTGGGGAGCAGAACAGGCAGACTGATAAAGTGCACTGCTGAGCAGAGCAGCAGGCAAGACAGGAGAGGTCTGCTGCGCCATGTGGGTCACCTGGGGATTGAACTCGCACTTAAGCAGCTGCAGCCAGCTTGCAATGCCATGCTTTAACCCACTGTGCCACCAGAGAAGGGAATTTTTAAGGATTCTTTTACAAGTTTAATACTCCCTTCTCCATGGGGAGTCAAACTAAAACCAATTTATCAATTAAATTTACCAGCTGATTAAATAGAGAAGCTTTGTTCACTAGACTTCAATTTCTTGGTAGAATGGACCTTTCATTTATTGCACTTAAAGTGCTATATAGACTTGAGAGTGTATCTGAGAATCCTGAAATAAGTGCTTTATAAAATACTGTTTATTTTAAAATGATGAAATTCAAGCTCAGATTTTAAGTAACTTTTTCCATGGTTACAGAGCTGGAAAGGGGAGCTAGGCATTAAGCCCAATTTTTCTATTCTTTTTTTTTTTTTTTTAAAGATTTATTTATTTGTGCATACAGAGCTAGGATACACACCAGAGGTGCAGGGGCGGTGAAAGGATTCACCAGAGACAGAGTGGGGAGCAGAACAGGCAGATCGACGAAGTACACTGCTGAGGGAGAGGAGCAGCGGGCAGGTCAGGAGAGGTCTGCTGCGCCATGTGGTCACCTCCGTGGCAGGCAGGAATTGAACTCATGCGGAAATGGCTCTAGCTTCTTAGTGCTGTGCTTTAACCTGCTGTGCCACCAGGGAGGGCCCTAATTTTTCTATTCTTTAATTCACCTCCCTGGCTTCTGTCAACTCCCGAGGGAAGGGGAGAGGAGAAGTGTTAAGAAGCTGGGTTCATTTTATCAGAAACATTTTTTTTCTCTCTCTCTTATGTTCTCCAATATATGTTGAGAACCATCATTGCCCTTCAAACTTCAGTATCTACCTGGGAAAATAAACCTTTCCTGGGTATGGTCAAAGGATTTTCTTGCCTGAAAAGAATAAAAGGGCTATCTCCTTCCTGTATCACTAGTACATTGAAGTGTTATGCACCCCTGTCCCTTGTGTGAGGATGTGTTTCTCTCTTCTGTCAGATGTCCTCCTCTGCTAAGACATTATTTAGTTTTCATGCTATTCTGCTTGAGGTCAAATGATTTCACTGAGCATTTTTTTAAAATTAATGGAGAAAACTATACCTGAAAAGCAAACCCCATGGGGTAGGCTGCAACTGTAAGCACAAATGACAAGAGTCCTTACCATCAGGGCCTTTGTGTAAGTATCCGTTGGCAGGAGGCATAAGTTGCTGATGGCTGCCTGCCTCAGAGTTGCTGTAGCCTTCCTGGGGCTCAGACAGAGTTCCTTGGGAAGACAAGTAGCTGGGAATGTCTGCAGGCAGATTAAGTTCCTCTGTAAGAGAGACACACCTGTAACTCTCAAATTAAATTGAGCAAATCAAGCCAATACTAAGAAGACTGTTTTGTGAATGTGTTATATTTTGATATTGTTGGCCAGGAAAATGTTAGGGACCTCGGAACTAAATATCTGTATTTCCCCTCAAAATATTTCTCACTAGAATTCTCATCAAAGCTTCACTTTAAATCATTACCAAATGAAAGTCTAAAATATTCCCAGATCCACTTCTACAATCTTTGCGACTGTGTGACTGACCTCTTTCCTCACAAGATTTTGAGGGAGGAGGGCATGAAAGACTGATCTGTCCTAAGAGGTCTGATCTTCCCTTCAGGAAAATTAACAAGGAAATAAATATGCATTAAAGAAAGGGCACCCATTATGAGTTTGTAGCGCTCGCGTTTTGGAGCAGTGTCTACAAATTCTTAGGAAATTAGTCACCAATGAGGCTGGCTCCGTTACACCAAGGGAGTTAAGTGTGTTACAGAAAAACTTTTCCTTCTGCCACACATTAAGGTCGTATTCAAAGCCTCTTTGTCTGACAGGAAACGCTAGAGGACATTCTCAACTCAAATATCATGCACAGGTGTCAACTGGGTACCACCTACCTGTGTTTGTGATGCTGTAGTCTTCATTTTTCCTTCTCATGTGGTAAATAACAATGACCCAGATCAAAGAGGTGCCCACAACACAGCAGACCACAACAATGATGACAATGCCAACCGTGGTCCAGCCGTCATCTTCATGCCCAATGCTACTCTGGGAAGAGTCACAATTCTGGGATGAAATGACATTCAGGTAAATGTGACCGCGTTCTGTCCCAAGGGTGTTAGACATAATGCAGGTGTATTTTCCAGCATCTTCCAGCCCAGCATCCACAATGATGAGAAGCTGGTTGGCTGCAGCAAAGAAGTGCCGTTCTGTCACGAGGAGTGGCCCGTCATCTTTGGTCCAGTTGAGGCGGGGCGCAGGACTCCCTCCAGCTATGCACTGTAACACTGCAGTTTCTCCCCGGGTCACTGTCTTGTCCTCCAGTGGTCTGACAAATGAAGGTGTTTCTAACAAAAAGATGTTAGAATTTTATTCCTTAAATGCCAGTGAAGTAGACTAATGATGTTATGGTGAAATGAGCTCTTTCATAAATTCATGAGAGCCTTACAAGTTATTGTTTAAAAAAGAGCACAAATTTCAAAAAATTCCATCTTGGAGCAAATGATCCTAATAAATTCAGAGATTTATACACAAAGATGTTTATTATAAAATTAGTTGCAGTTTTAAACATTAAAAGAAGAAAAATCTTAAAAGCCTTTTTTAAATCCAGCAGAATAATGAAATGATAGCATGGCTACATGATATTTTATGAAGATTTTATGATAGGGTAACTCTTGTGATAAGAGCATTAAGTGGAAAAAAGGAGGTACAAATAGCTACATAAAAATGAGTTTAAAGAAAAAAAAGGTCCAAAAGAAATAGGCCAAAATGTATGAATAACTTTCTCTCCTTTTTTCTCCTAATCGTCTGTATATTTAAAATCTGAACAATAAATTTATTTTTTTAATTTATGAGTAAATATAAACCAACACGCTTTAAAAGAAAACAAAACCTTAACATTTAGAGGAATAAAGAACTAGAAAGTAGAATTTGGCTTGGATGTGAATTACATGATAAAACAACATTTTCAAAAGCAAAAAAACTAGTCAAGTCAGGGAAAAGAGATTTGACCAGTATAGAATTAAGGACACAATGGAAGGAAAACAGAAAATCTACCCAGAAGATTTTTAATGTTTTAAAAAATAAAGGGAGAAAACAGTTAAATTGTCTTTGAGTTTTCTGTGAAGCAGTTTACACATCAGTATAAAAGCATAGCAAGCTAAGTTGAACAGCAGAAAAAAGTGTATTGAAATAAAAACCTTAAAGAGGGAAATTGAACACGATATAGTGATGTAAAGATTTCAATGTTCAATTCACATGATAAACTCCTCTAATTCTGCCCTCAGATTTCTCCACATCACAGTTATCTGGTCCACTTGTGTGCAAGGCTGACACCCTGTGTCAATTGGCAAAATAAGGTGTCCAAGATACAAGGATCATAACTGAAATCGTAAATTAGACTGTTATGGCCATAAGACCAAGAGTAAATTCCTAATAAAATGGTTTGGACGTAAGCAGGGGACATACCCAAGACCGTGAGAGAGGCGTTCGCCGAGAGGCCGCCTGCCGTGTTTTGGGCCATGCAGCTGTATACCCCCATGTCTTCTATTTTCACATTTGCGATGAAGAAGACATCGTCCTCGGGCATGACATGCATGCGCCGTTCTCGAGCAGCAGGAAAGTCAGTGCCGCCATCTTTCTGCCAGGAGATCTGTGGCGCAGGGTGCCCTTCTGCAGCACATTCTAGTCTGGCCATGGCACCAGTGCGAATAGTTAGATCCATTGGAGTTTTCAGAAAAGATGGCATTTCTGTTCCAAGAAAGATCCACAAAATACAAGTGAGGGGAAGTTATTCTGTGTGTGTATATACACACATATATAAACAGGAGAATATGCTCAGCAAAATACCAACTACTATAAAACTCCATTTCTATGAGAAGATAAATTCCCTGGTCTGATAGTGAATTCAATTTTTGAGGCCATCTCTTCTCCAAAAACCTTGGTGTTCAGACTACAGCGATGATTACCTCTTCTAGGACGCAACACACCTATCTGATCTCCCTGGTGGGAGCAGAAAGCAGAAGGCTATAAACCTTTCTGAACTTCTAAAATCTGGTATTTAGTGACTCCTTCACTTAAGAAATTCAACTTCCCAAACTCACATCTATAAAGTTCTCAGTGCAACTGCATGATTAAAAAAGGTGCCTTCTGAAGTGTCACAACACTAAAGACATAACTACATTTTTTTTTGGTTGCACAATTCTAAAATGTTGTAGTTAATTCAATCTGATAAGCAATAGATAAACTAAACTGATGTGAAGGGTTTTTTTGTTTGTTTGTTTTACAGCCACAATCGAAGAGCAGTAATTTTAAAAAATGATTATGTCACTACAATTAGACAATAATAATTATCATTATATCCAGAGATGTCCTAATTGTCAATTTAGGTATTAGAAGGTCCTGTGACAGTATCAGAAATACACATTTCATAGTTTTCAGAACACTCTTGGTTCTGAAAAGAAAATGGTTAAGTTTCCAAAGATTTTATCAAAGCACAAATAACAGTGAAAACAGCTAATCACCTGGGCTTCACCTTTAACCCCTAAACAAAAAGCAACTAGGGACACTAAGTAGGCAAACTGGCAATGCAGTCTATATACATTTTCACAAAAAGGCAAAACAGAAATCCCTCAAACATCTGGTTTAACCTCATTTTCTTTGTCAAGTGATTAAAAAAACTAAGTATGAAAAACTATCTACAAAACTAGGCAGGAGCATAATTCCTTACCATTCACAGTCAGTTTGGCTTTGTAAGAATAATTAGAACCAAAGTGATTAGTTACGATGCACTGATATTTTCCTTCATCTGTGAAATTCACATTAAAAAGATGTAAGACACTAGTATATTCCAGAGCTTCTCCAGCTTGCTGCTGATAGCGAACAAAGTTCTCAATCTCAGCATCATATAAGATTTCACTGTCCTTGCGCCACACGGCAGACATGGGGGAATCACTGCTGCTCACTGCAGTGCATGTCAGGGTCACATTCATGCCTCGCAGAGCAATTGTGGTTTCAGGGTGCCTTCTTATCTGTGGCTTCAGAAAATCATCTGAGGGAGAGAAATAGAGCAGAAGCCAAGTCAGACCTACCTGTGCTTCTACAGATTCAACTGATAAGTAAATGTGATTATAAGTAAATGCAAAAATCATGGCGACTTGTCTATGACTGCCCCCTTCCCGCTTCATAAAACTCAAGTCCCTTCCCTTAAGCCTTAAGAAAAATGCATCAAAAATACAAACTACAAAAAATGGTACTTTGAGACATTGCTAGCGAAAACAAACCAGTACTTGCTGTGTTTTGGGAAAATGCCTGTAGCACTTCCAAGATCTACTTTTACAAAATTCTACTTTTGAATGAATTCATAAAAACAAAAACAAACACACACACACACACACAACACTTTTTGACTCAGGAATCTTGCTTTTGCATATTTACTCTAAGGTTGAATAAACCTCCTAAAACGGAAAGGCCTACATTAAAATGCTATTATACCACCATTCAAAATGATAGCATAAGAACATACAGGAGGATAAAAACTGCCTGTATTTATTAAGTGAAAGAATATAAAATTCAATTTATTATTACATAACATAAAAGTGAAAAAGCAGCGGGGTATTATTTTTAAACTCCCATAAGATAGTAACTGTAATATACGAAGTTTTAAAATAGAAGTACGAACCACAGACAAAATCTTTCAGATCCACATTTAGGATGCTCTGTCTTGCCAGCCACTCAGGGTGTGCACAGCTTACATTCACAGAATGCTGAAAGTCGTTATCAACCAGCCACTGAAGCAACCACTTCAAATGGCAGTCACAAAGCAAACTACTTGTGTTCAGAATCCTGCAGGAACAAAATAAATAGCTTGTATTTAACCATGAGAAAAATTCAGACCGTCACCCTCAAGTCCTCAAATATTAGTGTCATGGAGAGTACTGAAAGGAGGTGGATCTATATTAGATTAAAGGACACTGAAGAGCCATTAAAATGCAACGTAATTTGTAATCTTTAGTTGGAAAAAAATGTTATTATAAAGGACAATGAGGAAACCTGAGTATAATTAGATACTATTACTTTATCAACACTAATCTCACTGGGTATGATAATAGTGGTATGGTGATGCAGGAAATGGCCTTGTTCTTTGGAAATATATATTAGGGTGATGACTCATGATGCCTGCACTTCACTTTCAAATGGAAAAACAATAGCGTATGTCTATGGGCAGGAGTGGCTGCAGAGAGGGAGAAATGGTGAAGGAAACAGAGCAAGTTATATGGTGAATCTGGATAAAGTGGAGAGAGTGTGTATGAGAGAGAATCTGGATAAAGAGGAGTGTGTCTGTGTTTTCAATAAACCTTTTTTTTTTTAAAGATTTATTTATTATGCTTACAAGTATGGGGGGGGGAAGAGTTTTCAATGAATCTTTAAGTTTAGAGGGTTAAAATTTTTCCAGAGAAGTATGGGGAAGAGCTTACTATACATGTTAGAGGAGACATCTCTGTCATATAAAGGATTTTCAAATCATTTCACTGAAATTGAAAACACTTCAGTCTGGGACCTCCCTGGTGGCCTAAGTGTTGAGTTGAGTTCGAGCCCCGCCAGGGAACTCACCCAATGGCCACAGCAGTGCTCTCTCCTGTTTCCCCACGGCTTCCTTCAGGAGTGTATCTGCCTGTTCTGCTCCCCACTGTCACCAGTGAATCCTCACCCTCCCCACCCCAGCGCCTCTGGCCTACACCCCAGTTCTTGTCTGCATAAATAAATAAATCTTAAAAAAAAAATAGAGGTGATGGTGGCAACTATGGTGGTGGCCCAGAATACAGAGGAAGTCACAGTGATGGGGGGCCAAGTTACGGAAATCAAAGTGGTGGACAGGGTGGGAGGGCATCATGGTTATAATAAAGTAATGGATTTGGGGAATCACAGTAGATAGACAAACAGCATCAAATTATAGATCCATGAAGGGGAGGCAATTTTGATGGAAGCAGCTCAGGCAGTCCCTAATGTGGCTATGGATCTGGTGACAGAAGTGATGACTATGGCAGCAGGTTTTAAAAAGTCAGCAGAAAAAGAACTATAGTTCGTAGTAGCAGAAAGAGTGAGGAGTTGTGAGGAAAGGTGCCAGTTCAGACAGTTGTCCCAAATCCATTAGCAGAACTATAAAAACCTGCCACAGAAGTAACAATGATCAATAGTCAGAAAAGTTACTGCAGCTTAAACAGGAAACCATTGTTGTTCAGGACCGTCACGGCCAGTTTGCAAAAAGTGCAGCTATTGATTGCCGCAGTGTTATGTCAATAGCTACACCTCCCAAGGGCTCCTATCTATGTAGCTCTGGCTTTCTTTTCATTACAGCAGGCATACTGCCCTGTAAGCTGTGGTAGTGGGCCCAGGAATAAAAGACTATGGAATTTTCAAAACTAAATAAATTTACTAAAATAAACACAAAGTACAAAGTCAGAACGTGTCATGAAGAAAACCAAAGCTAAGCCGAAGACAGAGCAGTTACCAGTTCAGAGAAAGTGGCCAGGGAAAGAGATGGGTCTTTGGGCAAAGACCTCGAAGTGAGAGAGCAAATCACTTGAAGACCACAAGTAACAGTATCCTGGGCAAAGGAAACTGCATGCGCAGGCCTGGGGGAGAGGTGCTGAGGGTACCACGGAAAAGCAAGGACACGGGGCTAGCCAGCGCACAATAAGCAAGGGGATACGGACGTGAGGTCACAGAGGTGCGTGGGGAGAAGAGATCAAGCAGCTGCTTCATAAACTAAGGAAAGAATCTGAGTTAAACTAAGTCTAGAAGAAATAACTCAAAATATCTTAATAGACCAAAAGAAGAAATAAAAGCCTCTCCAAAAAATCTGACAGATTTTTATCTGGAAGATTCCCATATTTTAATTTTTGTTATTAATATTAACTCAACTTTTACTAAGAGCTAAGCTCTGTTGAATATCTCAAATTCCTTCCAACTTTTCAAATGTTTGGGGGGTAAAAAAGCCCTTACTTCAGGCCCTCCCTGGTGGCACAACGGGTTAAAGCACAGCACTTCAAAGCCAGCAGAAGCTGCTTTGGCATGTGTGTCACCAGGGAGCTGACACACATGGCGCAGCAGCCCTCTCCTGTCTCCCCGCTGCTCCCCTCAGCAGTGTATGCTGTCCATCTGCCTGTTCTGCTGGCTCCTACCACTTTCCCTCTTGCTTGTATCTCCTAGCCACGCCGTGTTGTGTTATTGTCCAAGCACATCAGGCAACCTCTAGGCCTTTCACTTGCTCTCCTTTTCACCAGCAATGTTCTTCATCCAGTGGTCAATAGTTAGCCATTTCATCTGATTAAGGTCCTCACTTAAATGCTGGTATCTTCACAAAAGCCTTCTTTATCCAAATTAGTGACCTCTGTCACCTCTGACCTAGTTTTTTTCCTTTTCAGAACATTAAGTACCTGATGAGCTATTCTGTGTCCTCTAGAGTATTATCTTTCTTATAAGCATTTAGTGCAAGAGACTCTTAGGATAGAGACTTCTGTATTGTTTACTACCGCTTTTAGCATCTGTAACAGTAACTCACATAGCAGAGAATAAATATTTCTTGAATAAACAAATTATTGTAATCACATTCTAAAAAGAGAAACTGAGTCTTAGGTTAAAATATCTGTCAATTGTTATAAAGAATGGGAAAAGAATTTAAACTCAGTCATTTGAACATTTCCAGGACATCTCAAGCTATACAAAGTGAAGGATCAATTGTTCAAATAACTGATCTTAGAGCAACATTTGTATAAACTAAACAGAACTGTCACAATAATGTTAACTTGTTCTAATCTACAAGATTCTAAACACTAACTTTAAACATCTGTCCTTCTCTCATGAATCAGTTCTGGTCCACAGACCTTTCTTTGAAGAGTTTTCGGGCAAGATAAATTGGTATAGCCCACTGATTCTTACCTTTTGCTGAATATGTGAATCACCTGAATTTAAAATTAACCACCCATCCCCCTGGGAAATCTCTAAACCTGTAAGAGCAATTAAGATGTTATAAAATTATGTAAGGGGTCCTCCCTGGTGGTACAATGGGTTAAAGCACAATACTAAGAAGCCGTCCACAGCGACAGCAGCATGAGTTCAATCCCCAGCCAGGGAGTGACCCACATGGGATGGCAGACCTCTCCTGTCCCGCCTGCTGCTCCCCTCAGCAGTGTATTTCAAGTATATCTCTCTGTTCTGCTCCCCACTCTGTCTCTGGTGAATCCTCTCACCCCCTGCACCTCTGGCCTACACCCCAGTTCTTATATGCATAAATAAATAAATCTTTTTTTAAAATTATATGAATTTTGGCCCTCCCTGGTGGCGCAGCGGGTCACAGCACTGAGAAGCCAAAGCCACTTTCGCATGAGTTCGATTCCCCCCTGCCCTGGAGGTGACCACATGGCGTGGCATGTGGTTCGCCGATCTGCCTGTTCTACTCCCCACTCTGTCTCTGGTGAAGCCTCTCACCGCCCCTGAGCCTCTGGCCTGTACCCCAGTTCTGTATGTACAATAAATAAATTTTAAAAAAAAAGTATATGAATTTTCTATTACTATTTAACAGTTTTTGAACATTTCAGTACTTTGAACAGATCAGAAATGTTATCTCTAAACATTATATAGAAAGTGGCAGAGGTTTTTTTTTTTTTTTAATTACATAATACCTCAATTTTAACACCCCCCACCCCAAAAAAAAGGTAAGGGTTGGGAACACATGCTTTTGACAGTACAACAAGGGAAGAAAAGAGCATGTGGGGAAGAGCAGGAGCTCTTTCCCCATAAGCATGTGAAGCACAAGCAAAAAGGTGCCAATACCCTCTCACTGCTGGGCTATTTTTAATTATATCCAATCACTAAGATAACTGAGTACTGACACTGTTTTCTTGCCTGAATTGTATACTTCTAGAAACTTTTTAGGTCATATTCATCATACTTTAAGCACAAGTACAGATAATGATCTAACTGGTGATAAAAAGACTTTAGTTACTTACAACTCTTTCAAGCGTGTCTGAGAAAAAGCATTTTCCTGGATAGACATTATGGCATTGTTGTTCAAATCTCTGAAATGAAGCAAAATAAAACATTCTCAGTCACCATTTCTATAATTAAATTATATAAATACTTTACATGGTCATGAAAACCTTGCTAGTAGCAAAGATTATTTATATACTGAGCAAAATGGATGCAAAATACTTACAGATGCTCAAGGGATTCAAGGCCAATGAATGCTTTCTTTGTAATTGACTTAATCTGATTTCCTTGTAAGATTCTGAAATACAAACAGATCTTTTCTAATAAGACTCCACAAAACAAAATTAGCTCATTAAACATTTACCTGTAAAAGGTAGGAAAAGGCTTAACATGCATTTTTAAGAATGCTTCAAAGCTTTACTTAACCAATGCAACACACAGCATGAAGGTAGAATCCAGAGGTACCTACCAACAACCATCCCCTGACACACAGGTTTTCACACATGAATTAGATCATATACCCAGTTTCTCCAACCTTGGCAAAAGAGCACCACAGGTAAAAGAACTTCTGACAAACAGAAGCTTTGGAAAAATTTGCATGGGAGAAGATCTAAAATCTTACTTGAAGGTATAGCTAAATACCCATAAATCTCACAATTAAGTGGACTACTGGTTTAATTCATTTCTCAGTGCATTTCTTTACTTGACTAGAAATTCTAGTTCTGGAGATAATTTTCTTTTAAGTATCCCACCATATAAAACAAAATGGAAAAAAAAAAAAACATATAAACAGCCAAACTTCTTCCTTTAGCAGATACTCGAAGGCTCAGATTTTCTAGCCATATCAAATAGATACAATTATGCCACACAACTGGTCCTTCAAAATATACCTTTGTAGATATACACAGTTATTATAAATACATACAATTTAGTGAGACTTGTGAGTCCAGCAAAGGCTTCACTAGCATCTTCTATGGCCCATGAAATTTCATTGTTTCTTAAATTTCTACAAAAATTTTCAGGGAAAAGCAATTTGTTAGTCAACAGCACCATGACACCTCAGACAGCATCCTGGTGTGGCAATGCCACAGTACAAATGATAACTCTGATCCTTATTTTAACAGATATTTATGATGGAGATTTAACGCTTCTTTTAAAGATACATCTGTAATAAGCATGTAAGAAGTGATTTCTTGTAAACTAGGAATTAAGCTGGCCTTGATTAATTAAGCAACTTGCGGCCCTCCCTGGTGGCGCAGTGGGTTAAAGCACAGCACTAGGAAGCTTAAGCCACTTCTGCATTGAGTTCGATTCCCACCTGCCCCGGAGGAGATCCACATGGCGCAGCAGACCTCTCCTGACCCGCCCACTGCTCCCCTCAGCAGTGTACTTCCTCCATCTGCCTGTTCTGCTCCCCACTGTGTCTCTGGTGAAGCCTCTCGCCCTCCGCATCTCTGGCCTGTACCCCAGTTCTGTATGAATAAATCTTTAAAAAAAAAATTAAGCAACTTGCTAAGAGAATTAACCTTCCCAGCTAATAACCCCTAATTACATTAGCATGTTAAAAATTATAGTCAGGGTCCCACAAAAAGCAAGAGGATTTCAAGAGGCAAGAGATGTGGCTAACAAATCTGATTTCCAACTGACAGGATTTGGTGGGTTCAAGCCTTCCCCTTGGTCTAAATTTAAATGGATGACTATTACAGAGCTTCACAGTTCCACAGCGACTGAACAAGCCCTCTGAGAAGAAAGAATGATATACCTAAGTGTTAAAGTGATCACTCTGTTTTCCTTGAAAGGAAAAGTATGGTCTTTAAAAATCCTCCATTCCATTCTCAGAGGAAATGCAACTGTACCACAATATGCCCTGATGGAGGAGCCACTACTGGAAGATACTTATATTTTTGCTTCTTTAAGGCAAAAACTTTTTTTGTTATAAAACATAAAGCATAAACTTTTTTTGTTATAAAACATAAAATTGCATTATTAGCAGTAAAGAGATAAGAAACGATCCTTCTCACTTATCTTTACTAAAAGTGAAAAACTAACAAAATTCACTTTATTTTAGTAAGGAATAAACCATGAAAAAACTGATAGCTCAACTCTTCAAGAATCCCCCCCCCACACACACACTCAATATACACACAACACAGCATGAAGAGAACTCACAACGCCCTAATGATTGGGAGAAAATTTTCTCACATAATACTAATGATAAAGGATTGACCAAAAAGATATACAATGAGCTGATGAAACTCAACAAAAATAAAGTGAACAATTTCATCAAAAAATGGGCAGAGGGGCCTTCCCTGGTAGCGCAACACTGCAAGCTGGCCGCAGCCCCACAAGCTGGCCGCAGCCCCAGAGGTGATCATCACATGGCCCAGCAGACCTCTCCTGACCAGCCCGCTGCTCACCTCAGCAGTGTACTTTGTTGATTTGCCTCTCCTGTTCCCCTCTCTGTCGCTGGTGAATCCTCTCACCGCCCTGCACCTCTGGCTTATACCCCAGTTCTGTATGCATAAATAATTAAATAAAATAATAATAATGATAAAAAAAAAGGTGGGCATAAGAGCTTTTGACACTTCTCCAGAGAGGAAACGCAGATGGCCAAGAAGCATATGAAAAAATGTTCAACATCACTTCTAATAAGGGAGATATAAATTAAAACCACACGAGATGCCACCTCACACCAGTGAGAACGGCACCCATTAAAACAACTAGCAACAAGGAGAGGGTGAGGAGAAAAAGGAACTCTCCTGCACTGCTGGTGGGAATGCAAACAAGTACAAACACTATGGAAAGCTGTTTGGAGGTTCCTCAAACTGCTAAACATGGAGCTTCCCTACAACCCAGCAATCCCACTCCTACCCAAAGGACACAAAAACACTGATTCAAAAGGACACCTGCACCCCTGTGTTTATTGCTACTATATTTACAATAGGGAAGACATGGAATCAACCCAAATACCCAAAAGTAGATGAATGGATTAAAATGGAATATTACTCAGCAATAAAAAAGATAAACTCATGCCTTTTGCAGCAACATGGATGGAGCAGGAAGGGATCATGTTTAGTGAAATAAGCGAGAGAGAAAAAGAAAAATACCGATGGTTTCACTCATAGCAAGAGTGTTAAGGGATGGGGGGGGGGAACAACTGTAATAAAGAAAAAAATGAAAAACAACAAACAACTATATAACAGACATTTTTCAAGGGTAGAGAGGAGAATGGGATCAAAAATGGGGTAGGAAAGGTGCATGGGACTTCAGTGGTGGGGAGTCCAGGGGATTACAATCGAGATGGTAAAATGAACAAAGTGAAGAATGATATAAAAATAAATTTAAAAAGAGAGAGAGAGAATTCACTCATCCAAATAAGAAATATATCAAGAGCAGTGGACTAAAGACAGAATTCCTCAGATCTGATCCTAATTCTGCTTTATCTCTATGGCATTAGATAATCATTTAATGCTGCAATTACTTTCCTAAACTTTAATACTAAAAGTAATCAGAATCTACCAAAAGACCTGTCTGCATCTCTTGACTTTAAGATTGATTGATCAAAATTGATTGATGTATGCATGCATGGGAGAACAGGGGCTGTTGGCCAGACTCAGGGATGAGAGGATTCACCAGAAAGAGTGTGAAGAAGAAACCAATCTACTAAACTACACTGCTGAGAGTAGTACCGGGTGAAAAGGAGAGGTCTGAAATTCCATGTGGGCTGGCTCCCCAGCCGGTAATCGAACTCAGGTCCCAGTGGTGAGACAACCCTTGCACCACCAGGGAAGCCCTGACATCTCTCCATTTGTGGAAAGGCTACAGCTGCATGTAAGTTCCTAAATTTGCACTATTTAGTTTCACCTCTGAAAATACAGAAAAAAGGAAAAAAATCATCTCCAAGTTTTCAAAGCCAAATATGAAAGACTATCTCACTAAATTAAAAAAATAAAATGTATACATATACTTGCACACAATTGTCATGCTTTCTTATTTTACTTAGTTTCCAACATTGAAATCCTCTTTTCTGAGACCTTTCATCAATTCTGAATCTGATTACCACAAAGTCCCCTATTCAAAAACTTAAGATCTGCAACTTCTACTCTTTCTTATTCTGCTCTATGCAGAATATTTCACTAAAATATAGAAATCTCATCGAGGGCCCTCCTTGGTGGTGCAACAGGTTAAAGAGCAGCACTATGAAGCTATCTGCAGCCACCGCGGCATGAGTTCCATCCTCACCCGGAGCTGACCCACATGGCAGACCTCTTCTGTCCCACCTACTGCTCTCCTCAGGAGTATATTTCAGTCAGTCTGCTTGTTCTGACCCCCATCCTGTCTCTGGTGAATCCTCTCACCCCAACACCTCTGCCCTGTACCCCAATTCTTGTATGCATAAATAAATCTTAAAAAAAATCTAATGAAAGTATATTCCAATCAATGTATATACCACAGCCAATTTACAGAGCCAAAAGACAAAGAAAATGACACCCAGGAAAGACTTAAATGAGTTTGTTCATCTCATGGTATAGAAAAAAGCACAGGAGGTTTTATAAACAGATCTGAGTTCTAACGTGGTCCAAACACTATGTGACTAAAAAAACATTTCAATCTCTTTAACCCTGCTTCCTAATGTGGGAAAGAGTGTAACAGCCTCAGACCTGAAGACAACAGTGTACATTAGACAATTTATTTCTGTCCAAAGTCACACAACAAATTGTTAACAGTCAGCAGGCCTCCGGCAAGAGTTGCTCCCACGACGCATGCTGCGGCCTCTGAATGAGCACTAGGCGCAGGCACACGATCAACCAAGTCAGAGAAACAAGAAAATGTGTATTTCTGACACTAACAACTGTTTTTATTTCCCAGTAACTGGTGCAACAAAAGCTGCTTTGTTCTTTAGTAGACTGACTCAGCATTAAAGTACAAACTGAAGTGGCCAGAGATAAGAGGGGGAGGCTTACTGCCCTGAGGCACAGTAAAAGAACCACAAACGTTAACATACACAAATTCACAGGTTGAAGTGTTTTATTTACTCATTTAAAACATGAGAGAGAGAAACGACAATATACTCACAGTATCTGAAGATTGGAAAGAAACCTGAATACACCATCAGCTATGTGAGTTATTCTGTTATCCCCTAAATTCAATCTCTCCAGTAAGCTCAAACCCACAAAGGCAGATTCATCCAGGCGAGTCAACTGGTTATAAGATAAATCACTGGAAAAAGAGATCATGTAAAGTGAGAAATTCATTGTATTTTAGTTGAATTTTCATGTTCCTATTCTAATAAATGTCTAAAGAGGGATGTTAGATCTCTTTGCTGGTCATGGCAGCAATTTATTCTGACCTGCTCTAGGCCAGAGATCCATTGAAATACCACCCAACACTTACAGTTCAGACAGTCTTTGACAAAACTCCCATGCATCGGGGCTGATTCTTTCAACAGCATTCTGGCTCACATAGAGTTGTTGTAACATTCGCAATCCATACAGCCACCCCTTGCTCACTTCCGTGAGGTTATTATGCTCCAGCTCTCTGAGAATGAGAGAAAGCATAGAGAAAAGGATTCAGAACAAGGCATTTCACACCGGGCACAGCAATGAGAAGAATACGGAATATGTGTTAAGTTTTGCTCAGAGAGGCATAAACCTTTGTCCAACCCAAATGAGTCAAATTCTATTTAGTAAGTATTGACAGCTTACTTAAAATTCTGTTCCAGAAATGCTAAAATAACAGATCTATATAATTAACACACCAAGACATACATTATACCTGGTTCTGGATAAGCTCTGATAATTTTAATCAGTCAAACATTAAGAAAATATAAAGCTTTTAGATGAAATGTCTGGAAAAATGACAGAGGTACCAGATTAGCTAATAAAATTTAAAGAATTTTGTGCACACTTATTTCCTATCAGTAAACAAAGAGAGACCTAATATCTGGATAATTAAAGTAATTTCCTAGCCATTTGGCACCAAAAATCCTAGTTTCACTTGTTAGGCTCTCCATAGTACTTACAGTTCTTCCATGTTATCCAAGCCAAAAAAAGCTCCATCCTTAAGTTTACTAATTCCATTCCGCTGCATTTTCAAAGATCTTAAGGAGTCAAGTCCTTGGAATGTGAGGCCTTCCACAACTTTAATCCTGTTTCTTTTAAGTTCCCTTTGATTAAAAAATAATAATAAAGTGGGAAAGTGGTTTGGTGATTTGCTTTAATAATCATCAAAAAGAGGGCCCTCCCTAGTGGCACAACAGGTTAAAGCACAGCACCATGAGCACAAACCACTGGAGCACGAGTTCGATTCCCAGCCAGGGAGGTGACCCACATGGTATAGCAAACCTCTCTGACCCACTCACTGCTCCCCTCGGCAGTGTATTTTAGAAGATCTGCCTGTTTTGGACCCCACTCTGTTTCTGGTGAACCCACTCATCATGCCTGCCATCATGCCTGCACCGCTGGCTTGTACCCCAGTTTTTGTATGAATGAATAAATAAATATCTTTTAAAAATCAAAAAGAGTAAAACAATACAAATGAAAACATTATCTTCTCATAATCAATTCAGTTACTTACAAGAATTGAAGGTGAGGTAGCTTGAAGATCTTGGGTGGAATCATGCTAATTCTGTTTCGGTTTAACTTTACCACTAATAAGGAGCTTGATAAATTATCAAAGCAACCAGCCTCCAAGGTAGTTATCCTATTATTACTCAAATTTCTAAAAAGAACAAGATAACAACAAAATACACTAAGTGAAACAAATTCTATTTCTGGAAAAATGCCCAAAGTCTATGAGTCCCAGATCTACAACTCAGAAACAATACACAATCTTACAAATAATTAACCTGTTTTGTTTCTTCAACTATAAAATAAGGGTAACAACTACTTCATTTGGATTATACAACAGTATATGTGAATATACTTTGTAAAAACACTGGCACACAATCTAATTATCCTCGTCATCATCATTATAAAGGGTAAGTCACCATTTAACAAACTCTTATGCACCTCTTAGAAAACCGTAAAAACTACCCTGGATACTCATCATTATTTTCTGACACGGTGCCCTTTTTTTTGAGGGGAGAAAAGCTCAACAACCAAAAAACCTAAAAAGCTGATTCTAGGTTTGTTTCATATAAGCATATCAAATTATAACAAGACAGTTCTGGGAAGATAAGTATCAATAATCATAAATATATACTTTAGATCTATTTAAACTATTTTACTTACAGGTATTTAAGGTGCATTCGAGGAAATGAAGATGTCTTGATTTCTGATATTATGTTTGAGCTGAGATCTAAACTCTCAAGAGTAGGGTAAAACTGGAACACCTCTGCATTTATTTCTGGGATTATATTATGAACTCTACAAAACAAAGATAGTAGTAAAGCTACTGCCAGTGATTACATAATAAGGGAACATAAAACAAAATTTAAAGAACTATATACTACTCATAATTCAAATAAAAGAGCTGAAATTTTGTATACTTACAATGAAAGTACAGTAATATTAGATGTCAGTTCTCCAAAATAAGGAATTTCTGTTAGCTCATTATAATTCATTTTCCTGGACAGGTGGAAAATAGATGTAAAAGTTCAGTGAGGAAAATGTTACCTCTTGAATTCTGATTTCTGGCTAATATATATATTCTTTAGGATACATGTCAACTTTGAATATAGCCTATGACTCAGAATGAGTTAGATTATAATTTTAAAGTATTATATACTACTGAGAAGCTAGAGATTTTAATAATAAATGTGTTCTCAAGGGACAGATACACAATTGATATGAATATTAGGAAAATATGAAACAACTGCACATTAAATATGTTCAATACCAACTACACATTTAATGTGTTTAAACGTCTCTGAATAGTTACATTTGACAGCTCCTCATAAATATTAACTCATCCATCTCTTTGTACCAATATGTATACTTATAATTATATACAATAAATATACAGTTAAATTATATAATTTATAATATAAATACTTCTCTACATACATGTTTATAAATATATTTATAATATATAACATGTCAACACACTATTTAATTGTACTTTATATATTACAAAAATATGAGAGGATTGCTTAAAACACATGAAATGAATTCGCACATCAAGAAATGAAATCCGATTAATTTTACAGATGTCATGTGTCACAAACTCAGACGAGCAGCTCTTTAAACAGACTATCAAATAGTTCAGTAAAAATCCAATGTAATCACATTTCATTAATCTGGATTTCAATCACTGAACAATGTCAGCACTTTAGAATACAGAGAAAAGAAACCAGAAGGTCTCTAAGAAACAAACTAGAAGTTATAGAGTCCATGCAATAAAGCTGATGCACTTCCCACTGTAGTATTACCAGGTCTTTCCTCAGTCTATCCTTTCAGTTAAAAAGCTCGCCAATTGTTTGTTCATTCCTCAGCAAATAAGCAGCAATAAATAGGTGGCAGGGAAAAACAGAATGCAAGCAAGGAAAACTTTTAAGGAGAAAACTGACTTACATTACCCACGCACCAAATGATACCAAATGTAACATTTTTATAAATATGTATCAGACAGGACACTTCCACCTTACATAAGTCCAGGCATTTAAAAAGTGTATAAAACTAGGTGTTCACTGGCTGAAATTTGGGCAAAAAAGAAACAAAATATATTTATTTAGAGGAGGGGTGAAAAATCTTAAATTTGGTAAAGTAAACTAAATTTTACAGCTTTCTTAAAATCACCAACCTAAGGGCACAATGCCCAGAGAATCTGTGGTAGTAACAAAGCCAGAGGTGATCTGGCTTTACAGATTTTCAAACAAATGTCTTTCAATTTTGGACAGTATTTCTTTTGACAGCAATTTTCAACATCCCATATTCATAATTCACTGAATTGCCTCAAGGAATTCTAATGTAAATTTAAACAAATGTAACTTACACTTCTTGTAATGTTTGAGATTCCAAGCTGATGTTCCAGTTAGACAACCGATTATGACTCAAATCCCTAAATGGACAAAATTTCATTTTCAGGTTAGCATTGGAAAATAGACTTAGAAAAAGAAGGAAAAAAGTAATAACTAAAACTTAAGAATAGTGAAAGAATTCTCAAATGTGAATTTGAATAAAACAGACAAAAAGATATGTTACAAAGGATGAGCAAAAATGTATCTATTTACATTTCAAAAATAGCTTTTTCCAGGAGGTTTTTTGAAAACTAGAGGATATATTCATATGGTTCAATAATCAAAAAGTATAAGAGGATATATAGTAATCTCCCCATCCTTTTCTCTAATCATCCAATCTCCCTCCCCAACAAATGCAAGTATATCACTTCTTATATAGCCTTCCAGATAATTTTATGCATGCACCAGCAAATTACTACACAAATAATTTATTGACAGTTTTGCCCCTTGCTTTTTCATTTAACATCTAGCAGTGTTATCATTTCTTCATTCCTTTTAGTGAAATACTATAAGCACTTTTGAAAAAACTACTTTAATAATATATACCTTTTAAAGCAACGTACATTACACTTTACTTAGCTAGAGATTAAGTATGAATAGACATCACTAGTCAAAGATAATGTGCTTCCCTATTAGAACTGGAACTGACCATATATGGACCATATCCTTGACAGGGATGTGGTCTCTCTTGTTTATTTAAAAAACTAAAAAGAGCAATCTAATTTCAGGAAAGGGAAGTTCTTCAAATTATGTTAATGATAGTGGTAGCAGTTAATAGACACCAAGAACCAGGCACTCTTCTGTTTTTTTAATATTTACACATATTGGCTACCTAAAGCCACAGTTTATGAGGCAAATATTTAACAATCTTTACTTTCCTAATACAGAAGCAGGCAGAGAGATTAATAATTTATCAATCTAAGGTCACAGAGCCAATAAGGAAGCCATAAACTTGAAATTCCATCTCACTTCTAGCAAGCAGTTTATTTGATAGGGATTTCACTGAAATTAGTCATGAATCTAAATATTTAAATAGGCTTAAAAAAAATTCACCCTGATGCTTCCTGGCAGCTTTACAAGACTTAGGTGGAATCCAGCCCACACAAGCTGTCTGCCTAAGAATGTATTATACATTACAATATGGCCAGCAAGAGGGAAACACCAGAGAAACATTACAGATCACTGTAACTCACTGGGCCCCCACAGGCAGTTGGCAGATGCATGCAGGTTTGGATGATGTCTCTATCAATTCATTCTCCGCTAGATTCATGTCTGCCCATCTATAAAACCTAACCACTTTGATTTAAGGGCGTACTTTACACCATACATAGCTAATGGTAGGAAGAAAAAAATCACTTTTCCACCACAGTTGTAAAGCCTTTATCTAAGATATCTAACCCCAGGTATCAACTCAAGGACACTTAAGAATGGAGAAGCATGAGGGAAAGGTATGAACTCATTCCACATGAATTTTATTTAACATCAAATACTTTCATCCAATTCACACTCATTAACAAGCAAATAAAATTTCATACAAACGAAGGTGGCTGATCTGGCAAGCAGAGCAAATATCTGTATAGCAGGCTAAGAGTGTGATTTATTCTACATCTCATGCTTGCTAAAATTTAAACTTCTTTCTTCCTTTTATACACTAAGGACATTCTTTTTAATTTAGCAGTGCGCATTATGCTTTCTCACAATCTAATCTTCCTGGCAGTGTAACTCTTGACTATACTAACCCGCAGTGGTTCTCTCACAAGATATCAATGATGACCAGATAATCGCTTAAAGAAAAGCATTACCAAAATCTAAAACAATCAAGTTAAACCCAACATGTGCATGGCTGAGTTTATAATAATATGGGGTAAACCATTTTGTATTTATTATCATCAGTAAAGAATGTACAATATCTCTACTGGAGAAAGAGAAAATTCCTCTAGACTTTTGTTCAAGAGAACTCAAAAGATTCCTGAAACACTCTGGAGCCTCTCTACAGGGTAATGCTACCTTAATGATGTATGCTTTGAAACAGACTCATAGGTCAGAAGCCCGCCCACATGGTAAGGCTCTTTGGACCCTTCTGCAACAAATTCACTTGAACAGCATTAAAAGACACAAATGATGAACTGAAATACATCTCCACCCAAAACAGTACTCACAGAATGCAATTGGCATAAATCACTACATATTAGAAAAACAAGAGTTAATTTTACCTTTACTGAAAGAATATTGTTTAGAGTGATGTTTTCATGTAATATTAAGAATCTACTGTTTTGTTTTTGAAGGTGAAACTTCAGGTGCCTTATTAAATCATTTTCAATGACTTAATTTCTTCAAGGTCAAGTCCCTTGTATATACTTACTTTCTCGTCACATCTCTGCAGCTATTGAAGTAACAGCTCTTGTTTAGATGAACATACATACAATAGTTAATCTGTAGCATGTGCTAGATAGACTCTGCTGTCGTAAAGCCCAGACCTATCCTGACCCACTAAGGCCGCTCTTCTGGCATATATTCTCTCAATTCTCTATTCCACCATGTGGTCAAATTTATTGGTAGGACTCTAATGCTGCATTAAAAAAAAAAAATCAGTGTAGCTGTTTAAGTTATCAAAACATAAGGTATCTAATTAAAATTAATTGATCTGATCATCAGGTATATGCAATAAATATATATTGAAGCATATGCTGGGCATGGCTAAGTGCTACAGTTACAACATTCTAATAGCTGTTTTGTCACTTTTGAACCCAACATTCACACTATAAAGAAGTGGAGTCACTCCAAAACAAACAAATTCAATACCAATTCCACGATTCCCCTTCACTAGAAATATGTAACTTTCTTGTAGTTGGATTTCACCCTGCAATTTATCCCTATGAAACAGATGGGAACACACAAACACATCCCTGCTCTCCATAAGCAAATTCTCCATAAGAGAATTTGTATAATATTTTAAATTAAAGTCTCCCAGTAGCCAGTTATTAGTTATTATAGACCTAGTTCACATAAGTTAACTCACGCTCGCCTGTCTTTTTTAAAAGCCAGTCCTGAAATAGAAAACAGTTGTACAAAGATTTCCCCCTTTGAAATATCACTAAAATATACTTAATAATTTGAAGTAATCTAATGCTTGATAACTAAAACTTAAAATCTAGTTTTGTGACATTCAATAATCCTTCCTTTAGCACCACTAATATCTGAAAATAGTAGTGATACAATGATTAGAGAATGGTCTTAGAAAAGACCTCTAATTGTTGTAAACTCAGCTCTCACTCATGCTAATCTACAGGGATGTAACTGTAATAAATGATGAATTATTAAAGTTCTTGGTATCACAAGGAGCCAGAGGTGCCATTAATGTAGTCATTTAGTACCATCAGGGTGTAAATAATTTATAGGATTTATACATAAATGCAACAGTTTGAGAAGGGGAATCAAGTTCTGCAAGCTAATTGCAAAGAAGTCTTGCAGCAATGGAAATGCAGGAATTTTCTTCTGTCCAGACACTTTTACGTCATCAGCAATCTTTTTGTTTTCAAAAATCTGCAGCATCAATAGGCTGAACTGTAACAATGACAACATCTCTGATAAAAAGGCCCTTTGCAAAAGTTAAAAGAATATACCAATAGTCTGACAAAGCTTCCCATGTTTATTCAGCATACTTTGCCCTTTCCTTTATGAATGGAATCCCCTGTCCAGGTGGAGCATACCTAGAATAACTTACTTTATTAAATAAAACCTCAGGATTATCATCAGTTACAGTACCATGGTTTAACATGTTCACACGTCTGTATCAGACTACTGAAAATGTTATAATAATGATAAAGCTCTTTAGAAATGAGTATTAGCAAGAAGTTGCCATATCACTTACATTATTGGCAGAGAAGGAAGAGCTGATCAAAGCCAAGTGTTAGTTGGGTTTCATTACTAATGTAATCCATCATTCCTTGGTACCCACAAGGTTTAACCGGGCACCAAGACACCTATCTCCACAAATAAGCACACACTTAGCACAGGCTATACTTTTCCTGCAGCAACCCAACTAGAATTTGCTTCCGTAAACAACATGACATTGTGACTTTGAAATTGATATGTAAAATATTAAAGGGTATAAAAGAAACCCAAAATTTTAAAAGCATTTAGTTACAAATTTACATCACAGTTCACTAATGTTACACTATTTACAGTTTAACTTTAGTTTTTTCAAAGATTTGTTTGTTTATGCATACAAGAATGGGGGTGTAGGCCTGAGAAGGGGGAGGTGAAGGGTTCACCAGACACAGTGGGAAGCAGAACCGGCAGATGTACTGAAATATACTGCTGAGGGGAGCAGCAGGGGAGACTGGAGAGGTCTGCTGCGCCCTGTGGGTCAGCTGCGGGGCCAGGGATCCAACCACCCTGAAGCAAATGCCACTAGCTGGCAGTGCTGTGCTTTGACCTGCTGCACCACCAGGGAGGGCCCTAAAGTATAAAGGACTTTTAAGGAAGTAAGTAAAGCACAGCTCTCTTCAACTAACATTCAATAAGCAACAACTATTTATGGTTCAGTTGCTCACTGCTGCTATGTATTAGTATCACCAGGAAGACTTTAAAATCTTGACACTAAGGTCACACTCCAAATCAATCAAATCAGAATCACTGGGGGTGAGGTCCAAGCACTGGTATTTTGTATCACTCTCCAAGTGACAGCCTAATGTGTATGCAGCCCTGAGAACCACTGAACTACTTCAGAAGGGTAAAAGACTGATGACCAGAGGATGGTCTGCTAAGATTCCTTCATATCTTTTCCGTTTCTTACTTTACATCCAATAAACTTGTTTATCAACAAAGATTTAACAGGTACTACCAGATACTGAATGAAGTAGTAAGCAAAACAAAAACTGGTATGATTCCTTTGGGAATGTATAGGGATCACTATTTTTTTTTTAAAGATCTCTTTATTTATGTATAGAAGAACTAGAGAACAGACCAGAGTTATGAGGGGGTAAGAGGATTCACCGGACAGAGGGGGGAACAGAACAAGCAGATCTACTGAAATACA